CACACACACACACACACACACACACACACTCCAACCAAGTGCCCATAGCTGGAGTGAAATGCCCCTTCCCCCACCTCGCAGGGTCTGTAACCTCTCTGGGATTCTTGTGGGAGCCTCCCACCCCAGGAAGGCTTTGCGACTCCCAGAGAGATACGGGGTGGGAGCCCTGAGGCTGTGGCTCTCAGTCCATTCTCCTCATTGTGCGGATGTAAACTGAGGCTCACAGTGGCACGCGGGGCCCGGGAGAAGTGGGGATTTGTTGGGGGGCAGTGTGGCGGAGAACAAGAATCTAGGCCCAGATTTCAGGACTTCAGCTCTAGGTTAGTCTCATATTCTTTTGCCTTCCTCTCACCCACCCCCACTCTCCCTTTCTCCCCTCTTTGAGACTCTGAATAAAGAAGGTCTGGTCCTGGGTCTCTGACACCAACTCCCTGCATAGCCTTGGACAATTTCCTTCCCTTCTCTGGCCTCAGTCTCCACCTCTGCCCATAGGGGCCTGTGTGCCTGTTGGAGAGGCTGTCACCTCCCCAGGTCTATCTGGTGCACACCCAGGGCCACTTCAGTGGGGCAAGGGCAAGTGGGAGATGTCTGGCCAAGGGCCAGCGCGAAGATGGGACTTATGTGCCTGCTGAGTATCCCCACTAGACCTCAGATTCTCTCTCCTCTTTGTGGGGCCCTTGGAGCAGGGACTTCTGGAGAATAAGCTCCTCCAAGAAGTGGACTCCTTCTTCAGCCTGGAGAGAGAGGTTGGGGCGAGGGCCAGGAAGGATCTTTCTCTGTGTCTGGGAACCTCTCTCCCTCTCGGCTTCTCTCACCCCTCCTCACTTTCTGGGCCTCTCCTCTTTCTCTCCCACCCTCTCTCTCCCGCCCTGCCTTCTTTCTCTGCTCATCCGTTTTCTCCGCTCTCTCCCCCACTACCTCCTTGCAAGCTCGACTCTCCTGTGTGACCCATTCCGAGTGCTAGCAGGGAGCCGAGGGGGGTGGATGTGCTCAGGGAGGGTGGGCCACCTGGAGGGGTAAACTCTAGGCTGTAACTTAAGGCTCCCCTGACCGAGAGCCCCCTCCCCAGCCTGAGCTGGGCCAGACAATGTGGCTTTCATAACTCGAGGAGGCCTGGCTCTGCCGCCTTGGGAGAAAGAACCCTGCTGCCCAGGAAGCCCAAACCGCAGGAGACCCAGCCAAAACCCCACAGACGCCGAGACCAGAATCCCCCACACTCCCTGCTGAGGGCTGACAGAACAGCAAGGCCAGAGCGCTGCCTCTGGGGGCCCTGCTGGCAGGACAGCCTCGGAGCAAGTTCCCCCCCTCCCTCAGCCACCCAAGATGCAGACGGGGTGCAAGGGGACTCAGGGTAGCTCTGGCTGGGGCAAGTGGCCAAGCCCCCACACCCTTGGCTCCCCCAGTACCTCCTCCCCACCCACCCCTGTGAGCCCCGGAGAGCCTGGCTCCCTTACCCACGGCAGATTTCTGTCCAGCACTGGGGCGTCACATTCCTGCTTTTGGTTCTAAATTGAATTTCCTGGGGAATTGGAGCCTTCAGACCTAAAATAAAACCAACCCGACCCAGCCTAACTGGCCAGCTCAGGCTGTCTTCAGTCCTCAGCCTGGTGGCTGGGATTGGGACTGATGTGTCACAAGTGTGCATCCAGTGAGCTCACATTCTCGCCTTCTTGGAGTCTGGAGCCAAGTGCTACCCCTGATCCTCACCCCCTCATTCTCCCTCCTGCCCCTGACCTGGGGCATTCCAAATTCCAGGACTCAGTCCTCACCAATGGAATATTTGTCGAGTGCCCACTGGGGGTGCAGAGATGAACCGTGACACCACGGGGGCAAGCTGGGGAGGGCTGCGGTCTGTCTGGTCAAGGAGCTGTGACCTCACTGTGAGATAGAAGCAACAACGGGTGTTAAATGGGTCCTAAGTTCTCAGGAGAGGGGCCACTCCAAGGAGGGACTATTGGCTTGAAGATCAAGGGAAGGCTTTCTAGAGAAAAGGGTGAAGCTGGAGCTGGGCCATGAAGGATAGGTTGGATTGGAGGAGTGGGAGAAGGGAGGGGTAGTGCCTTCCGGTCAAGAGGAGTGTGGAAGCAAGGGTGGATTGGTCAGAAGGCTCGGTGGTGACCTGAGACCATGCAGAGGTCCGGCTGCCTGGAAACAGAATCCCTGTCCATTCATCAGGCTGAAGATGTAGACTGAGGGGCCTTGAATGCCAGGCCAAGTAGAGACTGGGGTCCGAGGTTCCAGTCCCTACCCTGTGAGCAGAGAGATCCTGTCCCTCTCCAGAGACGGGCAGAAGTCCAAGGGGGAGCAGCCTGAATCCACTGCTCACAAGATAATGGAGAGGGCTGGGTTTGAGAGACCAGGCATTGGAGCTCCGGAACAAGGGCCCCAGAGTGAACCCATCCCACCGAAAGAAATTCCCCGTACTCTGCGGTCCAGGAGCACCCCTCACCTTGGAGGACAGCAGGAGGAAGGAGCCCCCCGGGCTCCTGCTGAAGTTGTGGGTCTCCCTACCTTCCCTCTTGGGCTTGCAGATTTAAAGGGGACTTTTCCGCTCCCTTCTGGGAGGCCTTTCCAGAACTCAGGGCATTGGCTTGAACCCTATCCTGTGTCAGGGAAGAAAGTGTGTCAAGGCAGAGGGACTGCTGCCTTCCTATAGTTCCCTCTTGTGGATGGAGACCCTAGAGAGAGATGCAGGGCTGGGGCTTGGTCTCTTGGTTGAGCACTTGAGCTCCACCTCTCCTCTGACTTTTCTGCTCCATGGGCTTCTAGGGAAAGCTGTTTCCTGGTCCAGCACCTGGGCACTGGGCCATCTGGGTAGTATCTCGGTCATAGCTCAGGTCTCCCCGCCACTTCTTAATGCCTCCTCATTTTGCTTCCGTGTCTCTGGGCACTCAGCACGAGTTCCTTGTGCCCTCGGGGTCGCGTCTGTTGGGTCCCCTCCTCACTCCAGGAGGCCTGTGCTCTATGTTTCCAGGTCACGATGACTGGAGTGGATTGTCTTTCCTCCCTAATAACCTTCCAGGTCTGAGCCTTGCCCCAGAATGGCCCGTTTCCTCCAGGAGGGCCTCCTCGGAACTTGGGCTGGGCTGTCTAACTTCCTGTCTGCACTGGCCTCGAGGTCACCAGCCCCATACGTGACCTACAAGGAGAGACCGCCAGAGAGTGGCGACACTAGGGGTGGAGGGCAGAAATGGGGACCAGTCTCCCTAACCCCGCTTTCTCACCTTTATCCCTTTCCAACCCTGGAGGGGGGCCAAGGGAGCTGCAGTCCTGGCTCTCTCTGTGGCAGAACGGATGGTGTCATCCCGGTGCACCCCAGTGACCTCAGGAGAAAGCATGGGAAGCAACCACAAGGCCCCAGTTCTCTAGGCTCACCAGCCTCAACGCCACCAAATGACTGTGGCTTCCCTTGTTCACGATGTAACCATTCACCCTGGGATGTTGGCTTCCCGCTGCTATTCTTGAAATGTCTTTTTCCCCTTCTTTGCTGATTATCCAAGACCCAGTGTGGTTGTTGTCTTCTCCGGGAAATGTCCTAGAGACACAGCACGCACACTCACCCCCGGATGAGTGCCCATCTTCTGTGCTTCCACAGCCTAGTGTACCTCCTGCCCCTCAGTGTGTGTGACAGCCCCCCACCCCCCACAGAGAACTCCTGGGCAGTGACCTGGTCTGTCTCATTTTGGTCTACCCAGCACTTGACGTATTGTAAGTTGCATTATAGCTGCTTAATAAATGTTAAACCAATGGCGGAGGGAGGGAGGGAGGGCAGAAGGAAGGAAGGAAAGGGAGGGAGAAAAGAAGGAAGGAAGGAAAGGGATGGAGGGAGGGAGGGAAGAAGGAAGGGAAGGAAGGAAGGAAGGAAGGAAGGAAGGAAGG